TGACGCGCACCCAGGGTGATGTTTGGAAAGGCTGTCCTTGGTGTTTTAATGTTAATACCAAGTACACTTTTGGTTACGGAGTCGATAGGTAGTCTGAGCGTACCGTACACAACCAGGTAGATAATGGATTTTTTTGTTCACCTTTTGGAAAACGGATTCATTCATCACTTGCTACTGCTCTTTGAAAGGCGCCTCGTGAGCTCAGACGAGCGAGCAGATACAACAGAGGCTCCTGAAGCCGTGCTGCAGTTTATTGTGGAGTGAAGGAAGGTAAAAACCCCTCCTTGCAAAGGATAAAACTTGCTTGATGTATCTCTGGGCTCCTCCTCATTTGTGATCTTGAGAGGACGGGGTCTTCCCTACCCTCCGACCCCACGCTGCCGTCCCGCACCGTTACATGCACAGGAGTTGTGTCGCTCACGCTGTGAGCATAACGTCCCCAGCCCTGTCCGAGCGGTGGGTTGTTCGAGGACAATGTGGGACTTGTTTTCGTGCACACGTGTAGGAGAGCCTGGAGATTTCCCAAGGCTGAACTGGGGTATCTAACACTGGGATTAAATACTCTGTCGGAGTTTATGTAATGCCATACCAATAGGGAGGCTGAGAGGAGAGACCACGTGCATTTACAGTCCCAGAGACGAGCGTTTACTCTGGTGTATAATAGCCTTCTGTTGGGTTTTAGTAGCGTATAGTTTAGTAAATTAGGAGTCTTCAGGTACTTAGCACTTTAATGGTTCTCACTAAGAACATAATTAAACCATAGACCCCTTAGGGAGAAAAAACAGTTTATTGTGCATATTTTTAGAATCTATTACCAGCCCTCATAAAACCTGGTAGATACAAGCCAGAGAACATGCCTTAGCTGGCGACCCAGAATTCATTCGGCCGCCCCCGCCGAGTGTCGCCCCGCAGTCACACGTTACAAATCTGCCCCGTGAATTATGGAATTAATTTTCCCCAATCTGATTTCAAAATGCATTTGCAGCGCAGTTTTTCTCCGGCTGCTGGAGGTGTGAGGGAGGCAGAAGGTTTATTATATTGCACCTTGTGCTGACACATAAAGCTGGTTTTTGCTAATCGTTTTTTTATTTAAAAAAAAAAATTTTATGTTTCGCAGAGATATCCAGAAATGGGGCTTGTTGGAGGCAAGGGCTCTGCTCAGTTTCGCTCATCGTACGTCTGCCTTGGGCTTGTTTATTTAGTCGCATCTGACTTGGAGCTGCGTTTTTCTGTGTCTGTGTGTGTCAGGAGCTCACAGCTCTCAACGCAGGGGAACTCCTGGCTGCTTCCTAGGACGCTTCTCCTTGCAAAGCAGCCACGGAGCAAAGCGTAAAGCTCAAAATCCCCAGGGAAACGAGCCGGGTGACGTGATCCTGGAATGTTCTTCCCTCCTCTGACACCACCACCACGATGTTTCCGTAGGATGTGGTTACACCAGGAGAGCACTAGGCACGCCTGTGTTGGGCAGGTATCCCCTCTAACCCCAGCGATGCGCCCCGGGGGCTCTCCCCCAGCCCCAGCTGGGTGCTGCACAGGACCGCAGGACCTGTGAGTTGTGTCTGGCTTGCACCAACAAGGTGAAAAGCAGAATCTGCTGTTGTTACATGAACAGTAACGGAATGGATCTGTCTTTGCTGATTCTGGAGTACTCTTCTTTAACCAATGCCATCAGGTAACATTTATGAGTGATCAGGGCTTCTGTGTATGTGGGATCGGGGTGGGGGAGTGCATGCAGTAAGTAGAACTAGTGCCTTTGATAAGGCAAGGAAGAGGATGGGTAATCTGCCTGTGTAAACAACACTCTTTTCCTCTCCCTCTGCCCTTCTCCCTCTAAAAGGTGGGTCTTCTTGGAAGAAAGCAGTTGGGAGGGGGGGCTATGTCCATGATGTGGGTTTGGATACGTTCTGCTTAGATGTTTGGAAAACAAAAGTATGTAAACCTTTGGAGTCTGACATTCTAGAGGATCCCATTCTGTGTAGGCATCTTTTGGGGTCTTTGTAAGATCCAGACTTTTCCTGCTAACGTAGGATCTGAGTCTTGTATCCAGTGTAGCAGACAACCGAGTTAATGCAGGGCTGAGCAGCCGGAACGCCTGTGTGACTTGCAAGATAGAACAGAAACCCTGCTGCAAAGTGTCCTGCTCCGTGGCTTCAAAATGAACAGCGAACCTAGAGAAAACTCCAGAGGCCTTGGCACTCAGGACCAAGGACCCACCGGACGGGGTGTCGGGTGCCCCCAGCACCGCTGGGTAGTGGCCAACTCAGGCACAAAAAGAAACCAGAAAGGCTTTCCAGCATCAGGGGTGCCTGCGTTCAGATTCACACGTTGCTCTGGGCCTTTGCTCTTGCCTCAGCACCCCCTCCTGAGCCAACACGGCTTTCTCCCCGGGAAACCTGTGCCGCGCTACACCCGTGCTCGCAGCATCTGGAAGGCATTGGGAGGAACACACACACACACAGAGCCCGCTCCTCCCCCAGCAGCCTTCATACGGATTTCTCATACATGTGAATCACTCCTCTAGTGCTGTTTTGGTTTACGTACTCAAGGTTTACACGCCGGAGAAGCGGCTGCGGCGGTGGGGAGGGTCCCTCGCTGATAGTGTCCCCAGAGGCTCTGTTGCCTGCGCTGCTCTTACCAAACGCATTTCTTTCCTCTGCCGAGGAACCGCGTGTTACTCGTGGCGTGGCTGCTGCTGGGTTAGACTTTCAGTCTCGCTTGTCGTTTATCTTCCCTGTCCCGCAGCGTTGCCCCTACTGACACCACGATAGTGTCGGCGCTGATAAGGTGAAGGATGGCAATGCCGTAGCACCTGGGAGGGAATTATTAACCCACACCAGATTTCTGCGCTTCGCTTCTCCTTTTTTCCCCATTTCTACTTCAGGATGAGAATTAGCTGCTGCTAAAAAGCCCTCAACGGCAGCAGCCCCGGCTGGCCAGCATGGGCCG